TTTAATTATTGAAAGTTCTTTTCTGTCGTGGCTTTCAGGTGGTCTTAAGGAATTGATTGTATCGTTTTGTTGTGTTTGCAGTTGGTGTATGGTGCGGGACATGCGCCTGTTCCAGCAGTACTGGGGGCTTTTCCCCCTCTCGGTCTGTGTGATCAGCCCAAGACCAAGGTGTGCAGCAGGCTGGTACCGCTCTGTGCACCGTGAAGCACCTTCAGCCAAGGTCAAGGTAAGAGCGAAGCAATTCTTCCAACAAAAGCCTGCTAGCGGAGAGGCAGAAAATTCTCCTTCCAAAGGAGTGCATCTTTCTTCTCCCTTACCACTCTCCTGTTTCACCGCACCATAGAATGGTTTGGGTTGGAAGGGACCTTAAAAACGACCCAGTTCCATCCAGAAGTCCCCCCAGAAGTCCAAAGGCAGCTGTTTCCTTAGCAGAAGGAGGTCAGGAAGAGGCAAAGGCATCAGCTAAGTCTGGATAAAGAAAGAAATGGGCTAACCTGTTTTTTCCCCCCTCCCGAACAGCCAATTTGGAAGCACTCTGCAGAGATCTGCCTGGGAGGAAAAGCAGAGCCAGCCACTGGAAACTGACACGGGAGCTCTGGTGAGGACTGCTGCTCCCCCTGCCTCGGTGGGGGAACTCCTGAGCTCCCATTCCTCGGCTGGGAGTGTTGCTCCTCTCATCCAGCCAAGCCAGAGACCTCCAAGGTAAGGAGCAGGTAAGGTTGAAGTAATGACATCTCCCGAGTAAGAAGTGACATGACAAAAGGAAACGGCCTCAGGTTGCACCAGGGAAGGCTTAGATTGGATTTTCGGAACAAATTTCTTTACTGAAAGTGTGGTCAGGCATTGGAGCAGGCTGCCCAGGGAAGTGCCCATCCCTGGAGACGTTGAAGGGATGTGTAGATGTGCTCCTGCCTGCACACTGAGGCTCTGGCATGGACCTGGCTTTCCGTTGCCATTGACTGGAGCAGAGGGTAATCAGGAGTTCTCTCGGCTGTCTGAGGCACAGAGCCGTGGAACCAAGTAAGCCCGAGGCTCCTGCGTGCTTGCTGGGAGCCTCGAGATGAGTGTGCATCCTTGCAAGCTTGCAGGTTATTGGAATATGCTAAGGAAAGCAGAGGGAGGGAGGGAGGGAGGGAGGGAGGGAGAAAAACGGTACGCATCTTGCAACAGAAACACTTTTTCCCCCCAACTTTTCCTTTATGAAGCTGGTGCTAGAGAGTGTGGAAAAGAGGGTGGATTTTTATTTAGAAACTTCCCTATGGGAAGGGAAAGAAAGTGGGAGCTTTGGAAGTGTATGCATTTTTACTCATTTAACACTGAATGCCGGTTGCCCTGCAATTTAAGCAAGTCTGGGGGAAGGAGAAAAAGGAGTGAGGGGTGAAAGCATTTCAATTACTTGGCTTTGAAGGACCCTTCTGAATGAGAAAGAGACAGAAAACACTTGTCAAATGCAAGTTCAAGTGAAAGCCACTTCTGCCAATGAAGTGTGCAGATGGCTGTGGGGGTTCCGCTGAACCCTAACTGGGCCTCTATTATGTCTTTATTGCTCACAAAAAGGCCAGGGTCACCTCCAGTTTAGAATAAGTTAGCATCCTTTCCCACAGAATGACTCTGGTCAATCAAGCCAAGCAAAGGAAGTCTTCCTTTGAGTGACTGCTATCCCATCAGTGCACTGAAGAATTTTTAGAAAGGATAAATAGACACAAAAACCTTTGGTCTCATCCACACTACCGACATTTATCAGAAAAATTTCCCACCACTGCAGGCAACCTTGGGAGAACTAGGGTAGGCTGCTGGTGGCTGTCATCTGTGTCTGTTAGATTTCTCTCTCCTTAGGCCTGGATGATATGAGTCTAAAAATGGTACTGACAGCTTTCAAGATTTCACTAATAAGATGTGGCATGAAAAGCAAGTTCCACACCTTTATTTGTAGTGTGAGTTCTCCAGCAGCATGGGAGCCTTACCAGGCCAGCCCAGCCAGGTTTCCTGTTTCTTACAGCATCCATGTTTCATGTGTTTCACAAGCAAAAATTGCAGAAATTTGTGCTGACAGGCACCTGCGGTACCATCACCTGCCCTCCCAGCGTTGCTCAAGACAACCCATCTGGAACATTCCAATATGGTGTTCTGTGGTGTTGTGAAATACCGTCACTAATGCAGATGGCCTTAAAAAAATGAACAAAGCTGAAACAGGAAGCTGGAATTTGTGTCTGTGGCAAAAATATTTCTGTATTCTTCATTTAAGAAGTTCACACCTAACGTCACTAAACACCAAGAAAGGGTTCAAACAAGAGCAGGGGGAGAACTTTTTTCCCAGTGACAAGTTAATTTCCAAACTATGGCATATTGGCAATCACCTATCTGCAAAACATCAGAGAAACAAGTCTCTTCCAACACTGGTATAAGACATTATTCATGAGATCACAACTCCCGGGCAGTAAAAATCACCTTCCCTCTAGGTCAGAGGTAAGCTCTATGGCAAATTGAGCATTTTTCTTGGGAAAATACAGAAGAAAGTACGAAAATGAAATCATAAAAGGTAACAGTATTTAAAGGAAATCACTCATAGCTATTGGCAAACAATATAGCCAGTAAGTTCAAGAAGGTTACCAAGTTAAAACCTCTCTCAACTACCCTACCTGCTAGTCTGACAAACTTAAAGTTACTCCAAGTCCCACAGAAGCCAACTTTTTCTCAGCAATTGGAAAAACACATACTTGTTCTGTGCTAGAATATACATCAGGTTCTCTTAAAGGAGGGCTCATTTCCACACTCCACAGGTACAGAAGCCTTTGTACCACTACATACAAAATCCCTCTTTTAAATACAGGAAGCTGATCCCAGCAGTGGAAGTAAAGCAGAATTCTCTCCCTAGCAAGAGGAAAAGGGTGATTTGAAATCAGATAGCCTAAAATAATTCTTCAGGGAGAAAGGAGAGCCCCAAACATGTAAAATTCAAATAATTCTTCAACTTTGTAGTTTAATACATCCTCAGGATTTCCTCTCAATAAATATGGCAAAAGCTGCACATACAGAAGTAATTTCTGAGCACTCCACAAAGACCAAATTTAGAAACTGCCTGTCAGTTGCTTCTTTTTTAAGTTGTCCCTTTAAATGAGTAGTACAAAACAAAAGAGTTCCTGGATAATTACACAAGATTTAGAGGGTTTTATGGCAATACAGCAGCTCTAATAAATCACAAATCATTATAGATTAATGTAAGTTCATACTAGTAGAAATTTGAGAGTGGAAAGACTCAAAGGAATATTTAAACTGCATATTTTTTTCACTTTGAAGCCATTTGATACAGTACCAAACAGGGCATATAAAAGTTGAAAAGAATGTTTGATCAAAACCATCCTATGAAGGGATCTCATTCAATCAAAACATTATTTGAGAGTTTTCTACTAGTGCATTAAGTGACATGACTAACACAGGCCACATCATCTCCTGTATCATTGAGGTGGGACAAGAAGTCCCTGCTGCAACTGCTTCTACACAATGGGGTATTGCTGCAAGGCTGGTTTTGCTCTACTTCTTTGCAGATGAGAATTTCTGGTTATTTATGATGCTGAAGGCAAGGTCAACTAATATGAACCTTGCACTTGGAACAGAGAAACAGAACTCCTTGATGTTTTCTCAGTTCCTGAAAATTGGGGAAGGGGGAAAGAGAGAAGGCTAATCCAGTATCTCAGCACAACCTCTAAGAAAAAATTCTTTTTACTACAGAAAAGATTTGCCTTTATTATGGAAAATCCATTTATGCTCAACAGTAGCCCAGACAACAGTCTTCACTTCAGACACGTAGCTGCCTTTTCCATATGTATGGCCTAGGCTGTGAAGAAAAGAACTGGCATCTCGAATTTGATTTGTAGTTAGTTATCTGGGAAATGCCAGCTTAAAGAATTAAGAATGTGCTCATGGCACCTCATGCTGCCAAGGAGACACGGTACATACCTTGAGGACTGAAGCTCCCATACCCCTGTCAACTGGGCTGCTGCATTTCAGCCAAAAGGTGATAAAGACCAAACTAACTGAGTCTAGGTCATCATTCACCTGCAGAGGCACTCCACCATCCCTCCCCATCCTATCCCATCCAGAACAGCAGAAAAAAATTTTTCTCAAGAAAATTTTGCTGAAGAATGAAAAGTTTTATGTATCTCCAAGAGCAACACTGCCAAACACAGGATGGAACCAGCCACAGCTTGGGTGTGTTCCTTACAATAAACACTTTCTTCTTCAACACTGTCATACCTTTCACTTGCTCAGGGCTCAGATGCAAGTTCACCTGGCAGCTAACACTGAAAAGGAACAGGAGGAAATTCACTTTCATAAGTTTATCTTCTTCCCTTTGGTCAATAAGTCTTCTGCTCTGTGAACAGTTCCTTTCCACTTAGCTTAGAACAGAAATGTGTCACCCTTCTCTTCTGAGCTAAAACATCTAATTCTGTGAAACTGGATCTGACTTTCTTCAACAGCTCACATACTTGGCAAAAGTCCTCTTAGAAGTAAACAAAGTTCATGTGGTGCAAGGTATAAAATAACATATTGAAATGCCTAATTAAGCAGTAAGCAAAACACAAACTGATCTTGTAATTAGAAGAGTGGAGCTAGAAGGCTCTGTGCTCCTGAACAGGATATGTGCGTTGTTTGTTGGCAGATAGAGACTGGCATTATTTCTGTGTTCCAGAAAGAGGTAGTATCACATCAGGAAATCCTGAACCACAATTCAGGGTTTAGAAACATGTAACAGACTCAGAAGAGTTTAAATTCATTAAAAGCCATTAAGATCTGAAATCACTCACCAGTCTGACCTGCTGAACATTGCAGATCATTGTGTGTCATCTCACCAGTCTGCTCCACACTACAGCCTGGAGTGTATAAGGCTGGACAAACTGCAACATCATTTCTATGACAGCAAAGCAGTCAAGATCATTCCAAATATGCATGAGCAGAAAATTCTTCCTTGCAGAGGAAGCTGAGACATCCCTGGGAGTCTGAACTGAGGTGCTTACTCCTGACCCCAAATCTGGTGATGAGTCTGTTGTTGCAAGGAGAGCACAGCCAACAGACAGATGAGAGAGTGGGGATTCTTAAACAGGAGAGAATAAAGATCCTCTTCCCCTGGCTGCCAGGTTTCCTTCTTCTTACTACAGGTGTACACCGCTGTGAGGCTGTACATAATTTTGCAGAGATAGAGTTTCTTTTAGTCAAAGATACAGCTCTCTTCCCTCCCTGAAAGTCTGTGTTCCACCCCAGAAAAGTCCCTCTGGGAAAAGCAAACATAACTGATTTATCATCAGTCTTAACAAAGTCTAAGAACTGTCACAGAATCCACAGAATCACTAGGCTGGGAGAGACTTTCAAGACTATTGAGTCCAACCCATGCACTAAAACCTCAACTAAACCATGACACCAAGTGCCACATCCAGTCTTTTTTTAAACACATCCAGGGATGGTGACTCCACTACCTCCCCAGGCAGACAATTGCATTACTTTAACTCTTTCAGTAAAAAAAGAATCCTGTAACAACATTTTAACGTAGTCCTTCCTCCAAATGTCTCCTTCTATCCATTCTATAATGGCTACATGGTTCCTGGTCTAAATCTGGTCTCAAGCTCACCAGTACAGATTATACCCCTCCAGAAGCTTAAAAGATAGTTGTTTATATACCAGATCTTGGACACTGCTACAAACAGAGCTCTCATGTGATAAAAGTTGGCTGAGCAGCGCCCTTCAAGTGAAACAAAAAAATCCCCATCCACCTTCAACAGCATTCATGGTTCCTCAAGCTAAACACAGAACGATACGGAGGCCTGACTGTTGGGAAGGATGAGAGCTTGACAAGAAAGTTTCACAGATATGGATGCTTGGCAGAAAGATTTTTGGATGTAGAATCTGAAGAAGGAATAGAAATGAAAGCAAGTTTTGATATAGAAGAAAAGAATTGCTGAGCCAGTCTTACTGGACAACCAAGGAGGCAAAGGGTATGTTAGTTAGAAGGGGTTTTATGGCTTAGAGCAAAGGATAAACCCACCTCAAACAAGATGATGTCTTTACCAAGCAGAAAGATAGCACAGGCAAACAAGCCTGCCGATGTTGCAAGTAGAAAAAAGGTCTCAGAATTTTCCACTGCA